CCCACCTTTCATGTTTTAACGTTCGTGCCAAAACCCTGTTCAAAAGAAGTTTGAATTGAGTTGTTCACCTCTCACGCACCCAAGTTCTTCTACAATATGCTACATCATATATTTTTAATCAAAAAAGCCTACGGTTTATTTCTATCTCAAAGGTAAACTTCCTTTACAGGGTGAATTACTAGCTCAGGCTAATTGTTAATGACGGACGCTGAGTGTACTAAATACATTATTACTCAAAAAATTAAGATGAAAGTAGTAATATTGTACTGCTTATTTGCAGGGTAAAGTGATCAGGACCAAGAGTGTGGAGTACATGCCGTTCTTCCTGTCGCTGGTAAACTTCCTCAACGGTCTCTGCTGGATGGGCTATGCGCTCATCAAGTTTGACATCTACATCACGGTATGTACATAGACATTGGATAAAAAAAAAAGTCACAAACCCATCCAGACTTACAATCAAGAATTCCTCAGCGTGGTTCGATCTAACTGTTATGTCCTCTTTAAATTCTGTGCAGATCCCCAATGCCCTCGGTACAATCTTTGGCCTCATCCAGCTGATCCTATACGGGTACTACTACAGATCGACCCCCAAGAAGGGCAAAAACGTTGAACTGCCCACCGTCCTCACCAAAAACGCCGTTACCAGTGGCGACGTCTCGGTCACCATTGAGAAATAAGCTTGGCGTCATTTTTAGCCCTAAAGATTTTTGAGTAGTTAATACCGGATGATACCAACAGGTCTGATGTTAATTAGTAGTACTTTTTGTTAGCTAGTATAGAGTCTGAGATTGCCTTTAATTTTGTGAACAATTGTCGTCTGTCCGAGACTACAGTGCAAATTGCAAGTGTATATATAAATACCAATGCAGCTGAGTTATCTCAGAGATATATTATGACACCACGTATGCCTGCCTGTTTTCAATCTGCTCTTACGTGATGATTCAATTGCTTTGTTAAATTATTTTATTCAATATCCCCGATGTGTTTGTATTATGTTTCGGGCAAGGTCCTCTTCTGTTTTCTGCACAAAAACACCCAAAGGGCATCTTATTGGTGATGCAACTTGAACCTGGTGTGAGCGAAAACGAACACAGACTTAACCTAATTACCAGTTCAGTTGGATAGCTCCTGCTCTTTTCCCGTGAGGCTGCCTTGTTACCACATCGACCTTTTCTTTTTGCTGAGAAGTATGACGCTTTGAGTCCATGATAGAAATATTTTTCTGAATCTTGTAACATGTTAATATATATATATATATATATATATAGTGTTATTATTCATCATTCAGGGTGCAGAATAAGTTATTCTTCACCCGAGGTAATATTACGATCATTTCATAATTAAATTACGTTTGGAATTCAAATAGTTACATTCCTATTGATTCATTACGTAAAGTTTGACATAAAAAAATAAAAATATAGGTCATAAGACAAGAAAATTTGCAGTTTATGTGTATTTTAGACTATGTTTTTACGTTTGTAATTTTACATAACATAAAATATTTTTTACGGCGATTATATATTTTCTTACGGTCTCTTTTTGTGTCAGAAATAAGACAAAACTTACGGAACGTAAAATTACGGTGCATTGATGATAAAATAGAGGGGGTGAAGAATAACTATTCTTCACCCAGGATGACGAATAGTGCGACCCTATATATATATATATTTCATTAGTGTGTTTGATCGCATGGTGTCTACTATATAGACACACACTTTTTCGTCAAGAAAAATAAGTTGAGTATAGGAAGAGCCATGCTCAAAATAGATAGCCCACCAACTTGTGGCTGTAACTAGTAAGAATCCAGCCCTTTCCATTAAGGGAAATAAAATAAAATCCAACTTGAAGCAACATCCAAACAAGCGGCCCAGTCTAGCTAAATAGATCCACGCTAGACAACAGACCGTGTTTCAATATCCAAGAGCAAGCGTTTTTTTATCAATTTATTTTCTTTGTATTTGAATGATCTAGAGTCATCTAGCGATCATTACTATATGAATCTAATTAGATTCTGTTTGATCAATAATCACTTATAATTTGTTAGGTTTTGTTCCCGAATCATCATCATGTGTACTAGAATTAGAAAACATGATTCTGGTTCTGCAAAACAAAGAGCGGCAGTTGAGGCTCGAACTCAAACGAGTGCCCTCGATAGATATTTAGTGAGACTCCCAACTTGATTATGAAAATCACACTGCAGATGTTAATGTTGATGATGATGGTGATGATAATACAATAGGAGGTTGAGGCTCATGATGCAGAAATTGATGTCTTGGAGATGATATAGTACGAAGATATGATTGAAGATTATATTCCAAGAAATACTAGACGGATGGTCCTTTTTGGTAGAACATGAGGTTCGTTCATTGCTTTGCGATCACATTACCATTTTAGCATAGTATTTGATATATGCCTAAATAAGGTACAAATAAAACAGTCTGGAAATTATATAATAAAGTGACAATATGGTTTACGCATATTAATTCTTCTGTTATGTGAATTGTTCAATATTTTGGGCCAGATTTTGGTTTCTACCCGAGGCCCCAAATTTCTGGAGATGGCCATGCTAAACAGCCGATGAATCCGGCCGAAGACCGATAGCCTTAAGTGAGTTGGTTTCTAGCCCCGCACAGCTCCAAACACTTCATTTGCCACCTGTTCAAAGAGGCTTACTCCCCATGCAATAGATATGTTTTGACCTCCTTTCTCTACAAAAACAACCAATAGTGAATCCAATATCCAATTAGTTTGACCAGAATAGACACATCATGGGGGAGAGGAGCAGGAAATTTGGGGGAGGGGTAGTTGCTATGGGTGGGATAAGATCGTGGGGAAGATCTTTTGTTTTGGTTTTTTACCGACCGGAGGCCATAGGCTAGCAAGGGTAGAAAATTTTGGAAAAGACCGAGGGAAATGGTATTTTTGACATAAACACATGAAATATTTTTAGGAAATTAGAGTTTCTTTTGGTGTGAATACGTTTCTCGGCCCGTACGACTATAATTGATACTTGTGAGCCCAGAAGACCAAGGTAGTTACTTGTGGGCCTGGAAGACTAGGATCGTTACTTGTGGGCCTGAACGATGAAGATTGGTATTTGTGGATCAGGATAATACTTGCGAGGCCGGACAACTAAGGTTGGTACTTGTGGTTCCGGACGACTATGATCGATACTTGCAAGGCTGGACGACCATGAGTTGTTTCTACGGGAGTACATGGGAATGAGAGCCCCCTAGCAGCCACTTATAAACTCGATGAGGCTAGGGTTTATATAGAGAGAAATCCAATCTAGGGCTGCCGCCGCATCAACTTGGAGGTTAAGTTGGTCGCATGGTATAACACCGTCAGTAGGACCTCGGTTAGGTCTTCAATATTGGCAACTAGGTGGGTGGTTGGCGGGTCAAAAAATTCGACATTCCCACATGACTCCCATATCCGATCATAAACAGAGGGTTGGCCATCCAATATTGCAAGCCTATGAATCACATATATCATCTCATTCGGAAGGATTTTGTTGCAGTCCTCATAAGCCTGACCTGACATGACATCAGTGCTAGGGGAAGTTTTACCGAGATCCGATCAGACATAGATCTAGGGTCTTCCTGCGAGGTCAGGTCAGTTGTCGAGCACCCGATCTGCGTCATCGGATCCAGGATTGTGGCCAGGTATAATGTAAGGTTTTCTTACTCGGCCTAATCCTTATCTTAAATTGGCTTTGGGATGGGCATGTTTTGCTGTCCCTCGATCTGGTCTGACACCCAACTCGAGAAGGACAGATCCCCACGAGAATTCGTGGTATACTCCAAGTTGTCAAATCTCATAACCTAGCCGGGAGCAAGGTTCTCAACCTAGCCTAGATGGCCGGTTGAGTCAGCGAAAAGCATGATGCCCCCGAAAAAAGATCTGTCCCGGCATAAAGGTCATGCCAGAACCCATCTGCTCACCCATGTTGATCGCCATTGATTCGCGGTGGCTACGTAGCGAGACCTACATGGGCCACCAATGACGGGGTCGGTTCCTGCGAATCTCGGGTAGGGGTCCCGAGCTAGTAGCCTAGATGTGATGATAACATTGGATGCATGTTTTACCCATGCTCGGGCTCTCTCATAGAGATAATACACTATCTCCAGCTTTTTGATACTATTGATTTGTGACGGGGTACAGAGTACATGTTTATCTACCTCGAGATTGTTGATGTCATCTACGAGCCCTACCACCCTGGTTTATATAGTTACCATGGGTTCTAGGGTTATAGATAAGTCGACTATGTATATGGTAGATCGTGGTATAGACGATTGAGGGAGTCCTGGACTAAGGGGTCCTCGGGCGTCCGGCCTGTTATCCATGGGCCGGACTGATGGGCTGTGAAGACATGAAGGCCGAAGACTGTACCTATGTCCGTATTGGACTCTCCTTGGCGTGGAAGGAAATCTTGATGACTGACTATGAAGATTCCTTCTTATGTAACCGACTCTATGTAAACCCTAGATCCCCTCGGTGTCTATATAAACCGAAGGGGTTAGTCCGGAAAGGATATATTCATTGCCATAGTCATACATGCTAGACTTCTAGGGTTTAGCCATTACGATCTCGCGGTAGATCAACTCTTGTAACACGCATATTCATCAATATCAGTCAAGCAGGACGTAGGGTATTACCTCCATAGAGAGGGCCCGAACCTGGGTAAACATTGTGTCCCCTGTCTCCTGTTACCATCAATCCTAGACGCACAGTTCGGGACCCCCTACCCGAGATCCGCCGGTTTTGACACCGACATTGGTGCTTTCATTGAGAGTTGCACTATGCCGTCAACGAAAGGTTCAATGGCCCCTTCAATCGTCTATAGTGACGCTGTCCAAGGAGAAACCTTCCTCCCCGGACATATGTTCGTGTTCGGTGGCTTCATACTACGGGCCAACTCGCTTGGCCATCTGGAGTAGATCGATGGTTATGCCCCTGGCCACCAGGTCAGATTTGGAAGCTTGAACTACGTCACGGATATCCGCAGAGACTTGATCTTCAATGGATTTGAGACCGCAGCGATCGCTCCCCCTTGTCCCGATGAATGTGACTTAAATCTGTCATCAGACCAGATTCAGGAGATGGCTCCTGTTGCCGCAATGGCCTTAGAACCAGAGAAGATCGTGTCGTTCGAGGCCACAGAGTCCGCGGCGCTAGAGCTGCATGCAGACTCGACACCCTGCAATATTTGCGCTAACGGAACTCCGGACTCGTCTCCATCTATAAGTTCCGGATCACGTACGCTTGCGGACACCGAGCTAGATCGGTTATTGATCTTCGAATTCAGCGCCGCAGACATTTTTCAGTACTCACCTTTGGGCGATGTGCTAAACTCTTTAAAGAATTTGTCCTTGGAGAAGGACTCACAGCCGAACTATGTTCGGTTCGAGCCAGAGGCTGATAACGGGGAATTTTGCTTCCCACCCGCCACCCACTTCATAGCCACTGTCGATGAATTAACCGACGTGCTTGATTACGGCTCCGAAGACATCGACGGTATGGACGACGATGCCGACATGGAGCAAGACCAAGACCCGCCATTTACTGGACGTCGGACCACCACCTCTTCATACGATGTGTACACGGTCGACACACCTAAAGAAGCTAGCGACGATGACAAAGGGGATCCAGTCGCGGATAAACCGTATGAGACACA